AAAAGGGAATGGGTTTTTTTTAAAAAAAAAAAAAAAAAAAAAAAAAAAAAGAAAAGAGAACTACTGCCTTATAGATACAGAGAAAACCTGGAGGATCTGAACCCCGAGGAACTAAAGCTAGGAGGCAAGTTGACCTGAAGATTAGAGCTGCAGTATTATAATTTTTTAGTTGGATTTGTGATATTGTGATTGGTTTCATTTGTGATTTTTGACCATGTGAGACTGGCACTGTAAACCTTGGAGTGCCAGGAGCTAGTTGTACAACCTGTCCTAGACCCCTTTAGTGCCTCCCTTCACCCTTGACTTGCTCCTGCCCAGCCTTGCTGAAGTCCTTCTGCCACCCTAGCACAGGTGGATGCTCTGCAGTGCACAGATGCTCTTTGCAGCTTGGCACACACATCAAGGATCAGAACTGACCTGGAAAGTGGCCAACAGGGAGATTTGTATCAAAAGATACAGCGATGAAAGTGGCTTTCATCAGGCCCATTCCCCTGAGCCCACCACCCTCCCTTCAGCTCTCCCCAAGCACAAACACCTCACCTTTGACTAAGTTCTGGTATAGCATTTCTCATTTTCTTATCTGTTGCTGTCAGAGTTTGAAAATAAGGAACTGCTGAATAAAAGCAGACAGAATGGGAGTGGGAGCAGGAGGGAATGTGCTTGAAACTCTCATGTCCTAATGAGAAGATTGCTTCGTTATGAGCATTTCCAGACATGCTGCGGGAGGAGATATGTTTATTTGGGACTGGTTTGGGTTGGGGTGTTTCCATGGTGCTTGTGGGAATGGGACTACATCCCTTGACAGCTTTCTCTGAAAGACTTGTCTGGCCATTGGGCAGTCCTGAAATAACCCCGATGCCTGAAGGAACGAAGAGAGCGCATTACATCTGCATCGCAGCAGAGCACATGGTAGAGCACATAGTCAATCTCAGTCCCTGCTTCCTGTAAATCACATACAAGCTACCCACTGCTGTGGGTCTTTGAAGCAAGTGCATAGACAACAACAACCAAAGAAAAAGGGGCTACTATGAGCAAAAGGACTTTGAGTTGAGCTGGAGAAAGGATTTCATTATTCAGACTAATCTCGGGATCAGTTTAGATGAGCCATTACGGAATAACCTCATTAAAGTTCTAGGTGAAGTAGCAAACCACAAGTTAATGAGGGCTGCAGATGGCACTAAACTGGGTAGCGTCCTGAGAGCTGTGGATGACAGAAGTAATACAGGAGATTGGGAGAGATTAGAACTGGGGGTAGAAATTAAGAAAATGAGATTCTTACATGAAAAGCAGCAGGCTGATACTTCTGGGAGAAAATACTGTGCCAAATAGAGGAGAGAACCCTCAAATGCAGTGATGCAGTATGTAGCAAGAGAGACTTACAGATAATAATGATGGTCCCTCAGCTGAGACAATAGTTTGCATCTGTCCAACATAAAAAGCCAAAGCAAATATGAACACCATTTGTCCGAATAGCATGCCTAAAATGTGAGGACAGAAAACCATATTTCTGTGTGATTCTCTGCCACAGAAGAGGGACTCACATCTCTGTCACGCGGCATTTCACTTGGGAAGATATTTTTTTTGCTTTCTTCTTTGGGAAGCAGTGCTGGAACTGCTCTGCTGAGACTGGAGTGAGTGGGAATTCACATCCTCAGCAGAAGTGGTGGGTCTACAGTCTGTTATAAGCTACACCCTTAATAGGCCTGACCAACAGTGATGTTGTGAATGAGTAGCGACAGATTCTTATATTCACCAGAGGCCCACAAATTGCTGAAGTTTTTTTTTCTGGAAAGGCCACTTGTAGTTTTCCAGGCAGACACTGCCTTCCCCTAGTGAAGGTCTGGAAAAATGGTCAGAAAGAGAGCAGAGGTGAGAAGATATGATAGGTAGACTAATGAATGGCTGGAGCCATGCAGCGAAAAGAAAGTGAGAGGAAGAGATTTTTTTTCCCCTTATTGTTTTATAAACTAATACCTTTGTTTTTGTATTTCAGAAGAGAAATGCCGTAGCTTTATTGAGCTTTCACCACCAGCAGAGAGAGGTAAGAGCAAACTCCCACACCTCACTGTAGCTGCCCAGTGCACCTCCTTGGGATGGGGGACCTGCAATATTTCACCTGTGTGAAGACAGCAGGGTGGGTCCCCAAAGAGCCAGGCATGAAATCCCGGCCTCATGGTTGCTAAAAGAGCAAAGATTTCCTCCCAGATGTTTGCCTAAACCACTGCCATCTCTGAGGTCAGTGCTGGAAACCTCAGACCCCCTCCCATATGAAGTGGGATTTATCTCATCTAATAAGTTGCCCAGTTTGAGCTTGTCATCTTGCTGTAGTCAGCGGGAAGGGGATGGATGCCACCTGAGAGCATTCCCTCCCGCATATGCTACATGTTGGCTCAGTGCTTCAGTTTTGCGGTATAATGTGATGACTCTGGAAGCTGAGTCTCCTCTTACTTTGTGGTAAGTGATCAGGACATCTGAAAGTTACACTTTCAGGGTGAAGTCCTTGCTTCATCAAATAGAAAACTTCATTTGAGTTGGAGAACTCACCCCTCTTGTCATTGTCACGTGTTTCAAATTATCCTGGGGATAACTTCAGTATACCTGGATATATATGTACATATGCAATGGAGATTTTACTGAGTGAAAGCTTTTCAATTGTTGTGGGCTTGCTAACTATTCCCTGAGGTGGAGGCTGGAGGCAAGACATTTGAGAGGATGTTCATATGTGAAGGGTAGGGCCTGGGGTGCAGAGCCCGTGTCAGCATTAAAGCCATGAGAGCAAGGACTGGAACAAAATCTGGGGAATCGCAACATTCAGCAGGGAGATGAGTACTTTTGGGGACCTCATCTTCTTTTTCTGCCTTGTTTGTCCTATTTTCAAAACACTGGCAAAGACTGCTGACCTGCTTTTATAAAGCAATGTGCATTCCCAGGTGAGGGGTCCAGCGCAAGAGGTGTGTAGTGGCATCACAGTGCACATTAACCTGGGTCACTTGGCACAACAGCAGGGTAGAAAAACCTCCCCTGCTTATTCTTTTGGGAAGCAGTATTCGCACAATTCAAATAATGCTGGTGTTACAAGATCCTTTTGAAGTCATGCAGATCTCCACTTTGTCATATAATGAATGACTTTGCTGCATTTACTGAATAACTCTTGAATTTACCGCAAAATACTCACTTCACAGGGAGCAGCAATGCGTTTTTCTGCTTTCTCATCTTCTTGTGCTCCATTCCCTGCCCAGGCCTCTGGCTCTGTTGCTTCCAATGTCTTCCTTATAGACTGCTTTCCTAGGAAAGGAGGTTTATGCAACCAGATTATGTGTAAATCTTTCTGTCTGTCCCCCCGCACGCTCCTCCCACTGCTCCTTGCCTAATTACAGCCCAACATTGATAGAAAAACTGCGTTCCATAAGATGCTGAGCTCCTACAAATTAATTGGAAGATCACTGTGAGCTTAATCGTGACACTCACAGCAACACTGTGGTCTTAACAGCTCTATCACCCGCTTTCACTCCTTCCTACACATAGCATCATTTTAAGATGACCTTGGCCTCCAGTGCAGCTGCCATTATGTGGTTGGGCCAGCACTGGAGAAGGTGGCATGACTGCTGATTGCAGGCTGGGCTGGCTGAGCTGTGGGTGTGCAGAGCAGCCCTGCATTACACAGGCAGCACTACAAGACCAGGTTATACAGCATGCGCGGTGAGCCTGGACTCACAGGGAAAGTGATGCAGAGACCTCTGTGCACATGTGGTGCATGCAGCCTCCAGGACACTTTCAGCAGTCTGACCTCTAATGAAATAGTCTCCCTGATGGTGCTGCAGCTGGCAGACCGGCTCCTTCAAGCAGGGAATACAGCTCATCAGTTTCTGCTAAAGAGCTGGGTGACTATGGCACTAATGACGTTGAGAAGTCAAGTCAGTGCCACGTTAACGAGGGTTTTCTTCACACTCCTTTTCCCCAGTTGAATGTCTCCTCTACAGCCATTAATATTTGCTAACGGTGGTGTTCACAGTGCTGCTTCATTTGGCAGATTAATATTTCTTCCTCAGTGAATCCTGTGCTCTTCCACAGCCCAGCATTACAGAGTGACTTTTCTCATCCTCCTCCGAGTCCTGCTGCACAGTGAGCTCAGCTGAGTACTGTGGTATCACTTAAATCCCACTAATAATGCCAGCGTGAAAAGTACCTGTACTCTGTTCAAGCAGCAGGGAGAGCGGTGAATGTTGTTACAGTAGCTAGATATCCACCCCAAGGAATGCAGGCCTGCAAGGGTTCGCCTAAATTCCAGAGGCCAGTCCCAGCCACTGCCATAGACAAACCACGACGTTCTTTTCTTAACCAGTTGAGTCCCAGGATAAGTCGTTTGCTTCCACTGTTGTGATTAGAAACCTACTCTGAACATCACTATGCTAATAGGTAAGAACCTTCTAATCTCCGGCTCAGATGTGCTCATGGCCAACCTATGACCACTAGGTCTTGTGCTGATACTTGACAGCTTTCCCTCTGGCTTTTCCCCCATGGCTTCTTCTTTGTTGTTTACGAATAATGCTGGCTTGTTTACAGACAGCTCTTTTAGTTCCTCTCAGCTTTTGCAGTGCTGGACCAGCCAAGCCATCTTCTGAGACAGACTCTCCATCCCCTTCAGCATCCTTTGAGCCCTTGCTCACTGGCTGGGGGGTTTTGCTTCTGGGTGTTTGTTGTTTTCCTTCTTTCCAAAGGGCATCCTTTCAGGATTGGGTTGGGAAGAGGGAGTACTCTCCCTTGAACAAGCCACCCTGTATTTATGTGAGGAGTCTCTGGTTCCTGGCAGGAATCCTCTGGCTGTCGCTGGGATCAGAGATGCTGTACATCAGCTTGCTGCTCATCAGCTTCATCCTCATGATGGTAGAAATTCTGCATACGGGCAATCCTGTCTGTGGGTTGAAGCTCAACGCCTTTGCTGCTGTCTCCTCGGTGTTGTCAGGTAAGTGTATTACTGCAGGCTTGGAGTCACAGCATCAGGAGAGCTTCCTCTCCTGCACAAGGCTGAAGTATGCTGCTCTGGCTCCTGCTCTAACCCCTTTGCTGTTTTGTCTTTTGTGTCCAGGTCTCCTTGGTATGGTGGCACACATGATGTACACTCAAGTCTTCCAGGCAACGGTTAGTCTGGGACCAGAGGACTGGAGACCGCACTCATGGGACTACGGCTGGGCATACTAGTACGTAAGCTCTGGAGCCATCTTCACCTCCCCAGCCTTTTGGGCTTCAGCCATGCTACACCCTGCCAAAACCTACCTCCTCCCTCCTTGACCTTCTGTATTTCCAAAGACAGGTGTACTATGGTTCTCCCACTGCTAATTTCCTGTCTTTGCCTCATCCCCTGCTTTAACAAAGAGTTGTTGAGTTACTTAAATGAGTGGCTACCAAGGACTGGCAAAATAATGGGGTCACACCTAAACAAGTACCTTCAACCCTGCTGACTCACCAGGTCTGCCCCTGTGCTGGTTTGCCCTGTTTGCTGCTCTTCCCTGTGTGCAGAGGCCAGTGTCACACCTGTGATGATGCTCTCAAACATGCCCTGTGTTTCTGCAGTTTAAGTAAGTTGCATGCCGGTTTGGTGTCTTTAGGACTTTAGCCATTTGGACTAACCAATGTCCAAATGGCCTATTCCTACACCACCAAGCCTAGACAGATATTTAAAGATGTGGACACTGTAGCCAGGAAGAGCAGCTGCAAAAACAGGTGGCTCAGGGTTCCTTTCTCTGAAGGCTAAAGAAGCCAACTGCAGTTGATATGCCATAACTGACTTGAAAAACAGCTGGATGAGCCTTGCCAGCACCCATGGAAAGAGCAGGCTCAATTTGCAATGCTGTACTGAAGGTTACCACATTGATTCTTAAGACCTAAACACTCCAGTGCCATGTGCCAGCTGTGAACGTCAAGTGGCCATCTGGTTATGCTCATCGACATGCCTCATGTCCAAGAAGACACTGAGCAGCCCTGCCAGTGTCCAACCAACTTGCTTCCAAACTGTGCTGACCTGCTCTGACTCGTTGTAGACTTTCCTGCTGCCCTTTTTATTTTCCCTGTATCTCTCCCTTACCCCACCACTCTAAGAAGGATCTTGTGGTGGGATAACCCCTAAGAACTGTAATGTTATAAGCCTGACACTTCTAGTCTTTCTAGTTCATGTCCATGCCCAGCAGTTTCTGCCTGGTGAATCAGGGTGCACTACAGTGCATGCAGTTTAATTCCTTACCCTACTCAGCTTCTCACGGCATGTGCTATTCTTCTGTCTCTCCCGTAGCATGGCCTGGGCCTCCTTCACCTGCTGCATGGCCTCTGCAGTCACCACTCTCAACACCTACACCAAGACGGTGCTGGAGTTCAAAAGGAACCACATCAAGGGCTATGATGGGAGCTTCAAGGACCAACCTCAGCATCACCAGTGCTTCATACAGCAGCAAATAAGCAGCTACTACGAGCCCCAAGACAAGCCCCTCCGTTCAGTCTCTGAGGGAGTCGACTTCTACTCTGAGCTGCAGCAGAAAGTGCTACAGCGGGAACCAGAGCTGGAACTGGATGAGGTCTTGGGACAGACGATCGGGGAAGATCGCTGCTAGGGATGAGGGGTTTTGGGAAGCACAAGAGCTCTGAATCAAACACTAGCACCACTGTCAGCAAGTTCTTGGGGAGCTCTTCCTTCCTCTACTGTTCAGAGAGTGAGAAGAGAAGGTGGGCAGTGGCCAGGGCAACAGCAGTGCCTCCAGTAGCACGATGGGTCCTCCCTGATCACAGTTTGAAGGGTGTCCTCAGCTGGGAAGGGTAAAAATGGAGGGACATGTTGTTCATGTCAGCTGTCTCCAAGCACTTTCAGGCAGAGTTGAGGCAGTTGTCCAAATCCGAGCAGTATTGCACCGGGGAATAGATAGCCAGCACCATCCAGCTGATAAATTGCAGCGCTCGGCCTCTTTGGGTGGTGTCACATTGACTTTCCAGCAACCCCACTGGTTCAGTGTTACAGTGAAGGGCATCGGTGCTCATACTCATTGGCTGTAATCCTCTCTGAACACCCTATTTATTCATTTCCAGGCCCAACCTCCTCTTCTCCCTGCCCCCAGATTAAAAGGGCTGCTGCAGTAGGAATGGGGGGGTTGCTTTCAGACATCTCTTTCCTCTTTCCTACCTGTAATGACTCCCACATGCTCCCTTCTTGCTTTTCCCCCCAAAATCTTCCGTTCTGAGGCACCTTCCTGTCTGTATCTTTCTACCATGCTTCTCCACAACCTTTAAGAATCCTTGGCTGGGCTTTTGCTTTTTTCTTTGTTTCTCTTCATCTGTCCCCTTTTCCCCATTGTAAAAATATCGCAAAAGATCCCCAAATCGAGCAAACTCATAACCTCTCAAAGGTGAAACACTGGTTCACATGACACGCTGATGTTGTACACATAATTTATTTGCGCCACTGCAGTTCACAGTTCAAATACATTTTCCCAACAATATACAGACAGACTCTTTATTTACAGCGGGGATGTGTGTGTGGGCAGGGTGAATTCACATTATGGAGGAGCTAATGTCACTGCACTTGAATATCAGTTCTCTCAGGAAGAACCTCAGGAGAATAACTATTTCACCTAACAGCCGCCTCACCTTTCCCAGCAAGGTGGTGGCTATACAGGAGGGAAGGGACACTCCTATTTAATCCTCATGTTACTGGTCCTCACACGTTCATGGAATCATAGAATAATAGAATCACTTAGGTTGGAAAAGACCTTTAAGATCATGAAGTCCAACTGTTAATTCAGTCCTTATTATGCTGCTGTATTAACTGACTATGTATTATAAACACTAACCCCTGTCTGGAGGAAAATGCCAGGCCTAGAGCCATTGCTACAGTTGTGCTAATATATACAAAGCTATTTACACAAAAATACCATTAAACATATACAAACTGTTCACAGGCTCTGACATAAAGAGAGCAGGGCCCAAGGACCAGCCTTGGGGCTTGCAGCTAATCCTGAAGGGCTATCCTGGAAACCTTACATGGAGATGCAGGGAAGGAGAAGAGAGAGGGTGATATAACAATGAGAGGTTTCAAGAGCCCAGGTACAGCATGGTAGACTGGAGGGAGGGTCAAAGTCCTGCTATCACCTCCCCACTCACAGAGGAGTGAGGGGAGGCTGGAAGGACACGGGCCAGCAGGAGGACAGAAGAGTCCATTGCAATCCTCACCTCAGCCTGGCTCTGCCTCATGTCAAAGGCATACTGGGAAAACAGACCTAGAAAGGCATACTGGGAAAACCGTTCCTATGTTTTTGCCCCACACTCTGGGGAGCTGCTGGGGCACCAAAGTGGTTCCTTTTTATATGGTCATTTCTATGACAAGAAAATTCATTTAGGTGCTCTGCAACTACAACACAGGAGACTGATGGCACACTCGGAGACACAGTTCAAAGCATTAAACATACTGTGAGCAAATGTGCCCTGGTGGTAGTGCATTCCTCCTGAACTGCACACAGGGCTGGGCTGGTAAAGAAATGGTAAAGCTGAGCCCAGAATAGGGGTAAAATGCACAGAAAAGCTTTCCAGTTCTGCCTCTGTCTGAGCCTCTAAACCCCGAAGCAGTGGTGTGAGAATCAGCTTTGCTGTGACTGGATCTAGTGTGATGTTTACAGTGCCAGTGGGGATCTGCTGGGAATCTATCCCAAAAGGGTTGTGATGTATTTGCAAAGGGGGACTCAGCCCATTGGACTGCAGTGTGACGTTACAGTGACACTTTGGATTCATAAAAAGCTTAGGGATGGACAGAAATAAGATGTGAACCTTTTGCTTCTACATCACCCACATGAACCTGTCCTGAACTTGGGACTGGGGAAAGAAATATACAAGTGCATGGGCTGGCAAATGCTGTGGGGACCATCTTTCTCCAGATCAGATAAGTCAGCCAGAGAATTAGTTTGTTTGTGAGTTGGGGACAGAATAGAGAAGAGGGCTGAGAGCACAGGAAAGGTTGCAGACAAGACTAGCCCTGCAGGAAAAAGACAGAGGCTTCTCTCCAAAAATATAAAGATTTAAGCAGGTAGTGTCCTTTAGCCACACCATTTGCCTTGAGTCATCATGGCCCACTCTAGGCCTAGAGCTTGTTTGACTGCCTGGGAATACTGTTTGGACATAAAAAGGAGTGTCCTAAATCTCATTCATAAATTAAACATACAAAAAATATACATATATTGTATAAACCGATACATATATATATATAAAACCTGTTTTTTTATATATATATATATGTATGTATATAAATTCTAAATTCACATTTCTGTGTTACCTGGAAGGAAGCATGCAAGAACGGCATATGGAGGGGGAGACGCTGAACAAGGTTCCTCTGGTACAGGACACGTCTGCCTAGGACAAACCTGCCTCTAGCAGCATTCCCCAGAGAGCTGAAGAAAGGAGAAGTGCTTTTAGCCCCCATTCCCTCTACACAGCAGTTTTCCTGAAGATCCACAGAGCAGCTTCCTGTATTCCCCATACAGGCCACAGGTCCAACCAAAATCTGAAGAAGCACCAGGCTAGAGCTGGAGAAGGAAAGGCAAACAAAAACTGAAGCCAAAACCTATTATCATTCAGTCTGGTAGAGAAAAGTGGTAATTCACAGGTCAGCAACTGAATATGGAGGAGCCTTGTTTGCCCATGTCAAAACAAGTGATCTCCGTCCCACCTCTCTGTTCCCTCTTGGAGTTTCTCAGTCCCTTATAATCATGATCCCTGGTTCTTTCTAAGTTATCCCTCCTGGTCCAACTGCCAAAGTACAGCTGGGCCCCACAGTCTGTCCAGCCTATGCCCAAATGGGCAGCCAGTCATCTTACAAACAATCTCTTTGCATCCCAAAGAGCACTAACTGTGTCTGTTGGGATGTTTTCAAGGGCCTGGGTTTCATTAGGGATTCCTGCACAATCTCACCTTCTGAGGAAAGTCAACGAATTTCAGTCGGGCAAGAAATCGCCTCACTTCTCCACGGCTGATTTTGGGAGTCGTGGTGTCCTTTAGCCACACCATTCGACCTTGACTCATCATGGCCCACTTCAGGCCCAGCTTGCTGACCGAGAGAAATCCTGGCTGTTTTTCAGAGGTCGCAGTTGTTGTCACAGTGATGTGAAATGCATCCTTCTGGAGATCGTTAATTCCAACTGGTGCATCAGAAAAGGGAGAGGAAATATTGGTGAGGAGTAAATGATTATGTTTCTTCCAAAAGAAATCTTACACTCTTTACTCAGTCAAAACATCTACTGGTATATTCAGTCTGACTTTACAATTGCACGTACCTTATTTAATCAGGAAAAATAATTTTAAGTTAAAAATTTTCCATCGAAATAAACAGACTGAAATTTAGATCTGAAATGGAACGGTTTGGTTCCAGGTGATGTTTTTGAGCTTGACATAAGAGATGCACATACTTCAATAATGCAGTTCACTTTCAGAGAGCTTTCCTTCCCACACCTGTCAGTAGATATTATTCTAAACTCGGAGAAGAAGAAATTTGGAAGGCGCTGGCAAGTCAGTTAACTCCAGTCACTGAAGAATGATCTGTACAGACCTCAGAAATCCCAGTTTCTAATAAACCCCTCTAAAAATGATTTTCTCTTTGTTCTTGACCGATCTGTGTTTTTGATAAATCCAATTAGCTATATCACTATGTAGTAGCTTTTCTATGCTTCCCGGCCTACTGGACTCAGCGTTGGATGAACGGATCCCACATCCTGCCATGCTCAACAGACTGGCTGTTGGTTGAACTGCTTTAGCAAGAGCAAGGAAATCCAACAGCAACTGTGCAATCCTGCAGAACTACTTTTCCCTGAAAACACACGTGTAAATATTTTGGATTCCCCCTTTCAAAAAGAAACAGGAAGAAACAGCACAGCTGCTATCCCACAGAGCAGGAGAAGATGCCCAACAAAAGCAGAAGTGTATCTGAGGTGACAGAGAAAAGTTTCACAGTGATTCTTCATGCACCGCCTTAAATCGCAAATAGCTCCATGGGGAACAAGGGAACTTCTGTGGTCTAAAACGTGCATGAAGTCAAACTCAGACCTTTCCTTGCTTAAACACGTGCAAGAAACTTCATGGGTCTTTTATTTGCAAAGTAGGAGTTGGACAGGACGAATCAGGATGAATCTTGTTTCCCATTGCTGGCCCTCAGCTGCTACCTTTAAAGCCACAACTGCACCTCATTGTTTCTCACAGCTGCCTCTGCCTCCATATCTCTTTTAGTCTAGGTAGTTTCTCCTCCATTTGTACTTACCTGCTGAAGCAATGACTTTGTCTGTTGCATTGGTGAGGTCCAGAAGGACTGTAGGAAAAACAGGATGGAGGAGATAGAGGTGGTGCAGTCCTGGACGCTCAGGTCTGAGACCAGGTTGCTGTTGGAATGAAGGACAGACAAAAATGTTACAGCTGGCTGACAAAGAGGAGTCTAGCTTTGCCAAAAAAAAAAAAAAAAAAAGAAGTTTTCTCACACTACGCTGTCTTTACATGGATCAGAGAATCAAAACTTCTATAGTTTTACAGAGATGAAATCCTGCAAAGTTTTTTTTCTAAAACAGAATTTGCTGCACAACTTCTGTTC